TGATGTCATTTTGGTCCTCTTTGAACAAGGACAGAAAACAACAGGTCTTTGAAGTATCTCATTCTTTCAGAGTGATATGGGTATAATAAGAAAAATATGTAAAAGTTTTCTGATTAGAGTAGTAAAATTTGACAAAGCAGCAGGATAAGACTGTTTTCTCTAAGAATTAGGATATGTGTGTGTGTATGTACACACACTATATATGTATATGCATATGCATGTATGTATATATGATTAGTTTCCCACTCTTTCTAATGGGGTATATAGGCCTCGAGTATGTTTTAGAAGTAAGTCCTCAAAACTGTATTAAGAATTTTATATGGGGCAGCTAGGTGGCTCAATGGATAGAGCACTGGCCCTGAAGTCAGGAGGACCTGAGTTCAAATCTGACCTCAGACATTTGACATTTACTAGCTGTGTGACCCTCAGCAAGTCATTTAACTGCAACTGCCTAAAAAAAACCCAAGAATTTTATATATAAAATTGCATTAATAATTATAAAGGGAGGATTCTGGGAAGATGGCAGAATAGATCAGAAAATATCAAGCTCTCAAAAGATTTCACTCCACAAAAGAGATAAAATAGCACCTCAAGGGGTGAAAATAAATAAGAGTAGGGGAAGAACAGGGGTCCTCCCGAGACAAGAGGAGATCTGAAGAAAAATCCCAGGAAGAGATTTACTTCCAGTGAAGAGTGAACACCTACCTCCAGGCTAGGGACCACTCAAACAACAAACCCAAAGCCCTGGAGTTAACTGGGTTGGGAGGCTACTTCAACCCCAGCCACAGGAACTTTTATCCCCAGGGCAATGAGGGGAGGTGCTGAGCAGGGGAAGATCTAGGGAACTTCTGCCGACAAAGAACACCAGACCTCTCAGTGCTTCCAAGACAAAGTGGTGGCAAGAAGGAACAAGCACAGGCCCTGTGAGTGCAGAAGCAGTGGAGCCCTGGCGCTGCTGGCTGTGGGCACTTAAAGGGAGGCTGATGGTCTTGGTTTGAGTTTAAGGTCAAAGGGAAGGACTGAAGGGGATCTGAGACCATCTGAGACCAGAGGCACCATCCCCCATACTCCAGGACCAGAGGTGATTATAAAAACTAAACCATTACAAAAAACACAAATGCACAGGCAAAGGGGAAAGAATCCAATCATAGAGAGCTATTATGGGAATAGAGAAGACCAGGGTTCATCTTCAGATGATGATACTGAAGCAAAGAAATCCTCTTCTACCCCAAAGAGTAATGTCAAATGGTCACTGGCCCAAAAAGAATTCACTGAAGAACTTAAAAAATCAAATGAAAGACTGAGGAAAAACTAAAAAGAAAAATAAGAATAATCCAAGAAAAATAAGATGATTATAAAAAGAAAGTCAACCAATTAGAAAAGAGGATCCAGAATCTTAAGGAAGAAAATGATTCCTTGAACATCAGAATTAGGCAAGGGGAAGCCAGTGAAGTTATAAGAGTTCAAGAAATAAAAAAACAGGTGCAGCTAGGTGGTGCAGTGGATAGGGAGCACTGGCCCTGGAGTCAGGAGGACCTGAGTTCAAATCCAGCCTCAGACCAGACATTTGACTCGTAATTAGCTGTGTGACTCTAGGCAAGTCACTTAACTCCAACTGCCTCACCAAAAAAAAAAAAAAGAAAGAAAAGAAAAGAAAAGAAATTAAAAAAAAATAAAAAGAACAAAAAAAATAGAATGTGAAACATCTCATAAGAAAAACAACTGATCTGGAGAACAGATCAAGAAGAGAAAACAAGAATAATCGGACTACCTGAAATCTATGACCAAAAAAAGAATCTTGACACAGTAATACAAGAAATAATTAAAGAAAATTGTCCTGAAGCATTAGAACAAGAAAGGAAAGTAGAAACAGAAAAAATCCACTGATCACCACCTGAAAGAGATCCTATGAGGAAACTCATGGGAACATTATAGTCAAATTCCAAAACCTCCAGCTTAGTGATAAAATATTAAGAGCAATAAGAAAAAAAAATTTACATAAGGCTATACCACAATTAAAATCACAAATGACCTAGCAGGGACAACACTAAAAGATCGCTGGTCTTTGAACACTATGTATCAAAGAGCAAAAGAACTCAGGTTCCAGCCAAAAGTACCATACTCAGCAAAGCTAAGCATAATTCTGAATGAAAAAAAAAGTGTCCATTTAATGAACTGTCAGATTTTCAGGATTTTGTTAAAAACCAACAACAAACAAATCTGAACTTAATAGAACTTGACATACAAGAGCCAAGAGAAATAAAAAGTATGTACCAATGACAAATTACAAGGGACTGAAGGGACAAATTACAACAATAATAACATTGTTATGAGTAATTAGCTACCTTATAAGAAAGATTGGGGTAGACCTGGGTATGATATGACTTCAAAAAGTAAAACCGGGGCAGCTAGGTAGCACAGTGGATAGAGTACTGGCCTTAGAGTCAGGAGTACCTGAGTTCAAATTGAGCCTCAGACACATAACACTTACTAGCTGTGTGACCCTAGGCAAGTCACTTAACCCCACTGCCTAGCAAAAAAAAAAAAAGTAAAACCCTTCAAGAACAGGTAAAAGAGTAATTATCTTATACAAATGAAGTGTGAGAGGAAGAATCAATTCAGAAGAATTAGATGGGGAGTGGGGCTGTTAGTTCTGGAAATCTACTTTCAATCAGGAATGGGTTCAAGAGGGAAAAAAAAATATATATATATACACACATTAGAAGAGTATAACAGGGAGGAGGGAGAGGATAAAAGAGGGACCTTTAGAGGGGAGTGGAAGGGACTGGTTAAAAGGGGGATATAGAAAGGTATTTAGATCAATGGGAAGGGGAGGATAAGGGAAGGATTCTTAGGAGGATAAGGGAGGGCTCTATTAGAGGGGAAGGTGAGAGAATAGGTCAAAGACATGTAAAAGAGGTGATTTATGAAAAGGCAGGAGGACAACGGAGGGATTATTGTAGGGGGCATAAGTTAAGTAATAGGAGGGCAAGGTAGTAGACAAAAGAAAAGCAATAGGTCAAATGGGCATAGAAAATGGTGTTCAGATTTATAGGAATGGGAAGACAGGAAAGGGATTGCTGGGGGGTAGGTTAAATAATAGGAGGGCAAGCTGGGGGTAGAAGTAAAGTAGAGGAGTTAAGAGAGATAGAAAAAAAGAAATATGCACAAATATAAAAACAAAGATTAGGAGTAGACTGTCTTAGAAAAGTATATGTTTATATATGTATGTATGTGTATATATATATGTATGTATAAATCAATATCTATACATAAATATATCCACATTTAATTGTAGCCGGGGGGGAGGGGGGAGGAAGGAGGAAAAAAGAACCAAGTTAAAAGTGTACAATAGAGAACAAGAAAAAACCTACATGGAAGTAAAGAAAAGATGGATAGCTTTCAACATAATGGGCAATATTTAACATATAGACTTTCTTAAAATGGAAGGTTATTGCTATATATTCTGAATCCTCTTTTATGTTCTGCTATACACATGACATGGTTTTTTTCTTATTTTATAATTGTTTAACATTTAAGCTTATGATATTTCTTTTTCTTTCATTATGTATTTAAAGTTTTAGTGTTTGTCTAAAATAAAGAAAAAAATGAAAAAAATTGTAAAGAAATTTTAAGTCATCATTTTCCCATTTTGATGCCTTTATCTGATAATTTCAAGAGACAGAAGGGTCCATTTTCCAAGTCATCCCCTTGTGGATGTTTTTTTTAAGATTCTTCCTTCAGCCTGTTGATGGCAGTGATCATATTAGATATGGGGTTTAGGTATTAGATAAGTTTAGGTAACAGCAAATGGTATGTAAAAACTGAAATTCTCTGAAATTTCAGGTGAATTATGGGTTCCTAATTTGATGGTGTTCTTATAGCTCTATCATTGATATAGAATCAGAACTATAACGCTTGAGCTGGTTTTTAACCACATGAAGTAGTTGTTAGAAAACCAACTTTAGGAAGCTGTACTAAATTGTACTGAGTCTTTATACTGGCAGATTTTAGCAGAATTACCTAGGAATATCTACAAGTGACTTGGAACCAGAGAAGTAGATCCATTAGGAGGAGTCCCCTTCAGAGCTACCTAGAGAATGAGATTTAATCCAGAATGCCCAAGGAAAGATGTTTCCCGGGATCAGATAACCTCCTGAGACATTTGGGAGAGAAGATGAAATGTGCTAATTAAATGGACATTGCAGGTGGGTTATTAGGTTATAAGGAGATGATGTTATTGTATTGTTTTGGCTTTTTGTTTCTTGATGTTTATGTTTACTGAGTTTTCTTGGTTACATTGGTGACATGTAAATCTCCCCTCTCAAATCAGTACATGATGAGCCCTCTAAGTAGTTTGATCCGTAGCTTGATTTAATTTACCTATAAAGTCTATTTGACAAGTTTTGTCTCCTTAGGAGATATATGAGATTATAATTTTGCTTGTACTCTTTGTGCCTCTCACCCCATCCCTTTGATGCCACTCAAGGTAAACTATTATTCTGTCCAAAAGTCCCTAACAGATAAAAGAATCTAAATAAGTTGTCCTGGGAGTTGAGAACACCAGGATCAAAAGGGGAAATATTACATTAAAAACAGCATTAGTGACTCCATTTTGCCTTTATCTGCCATTTTGTGAAGCTAAGTTTCAGCTGCTTGTAAGTCACTTGATTCTGGGAAGTCACTCTCTTTCCCAATGGTTACCTAACTTAAGGAATGTCACAAATTTATCCCTCTCCCTCACCTCAATGTCTCCCAATCCTCTTGATCAATAAGAACCAGTTATCTCAACCCCTACAGCCTGTTTTTCCTGTTATTCGCTCCCTCCAGATTGTACATTAACTGGGTAAAAACCAATGGACAATGTCTTTGGTGACCAAGAGCCTGGTATCCAATTTGTTTTTGCAACCACAGGTATTGCTAAATAAATTGTTGACTGGATGTAACTACTTGATATCTTCATTCCACTACAATACTTAGTCATTTTACATAAAAGTTACCTAAAATTGCTGAAAGATTTGAAAATTGCTGCATGTTCTCTATAGCCGCTGCTCTGCTGGTATGCAGAAAAGCAGAAGTCTTGAATTTGAGATAGTCTTCAGTAGTGGAATTATTAATATCTAATCAGACATAAAAAAAGGAAAAAAAGCTGCAGAGAATTCCAAACTGATATAAATTCTTTCCCACATTCTTTGATATTCTCATTTCCTACCCTCTCTTGCAACTATCAAGATTTTATCCCAGAGCAAGATGTTTATGTATTAGAGTGTCCCTTACAAATGCAAATGAAGAGGGTGTGTGTGTGTGTGTGTGTGTGTGTGTGTGTGTGTGTGTATGTATGTGTAGACTGGGAGTTGTTTACTTTATATACTCTGATCTCACTGAAGAAAAAAATCTCTCAATTTTTCTTAGGTCCAACAAGTTGTTCTCAAATCATTTTAGCCTCAGATTTACAGTTAGGTAAATAGTTTAAATAAATGAGTACCATAAGCCAAGTACTGAAATCTTTGAGAAAGAAGGGGGAGGTACCTGGGGCATGGGCACCAGGACATGGACAGGGTGATGGATCTGGAAAGAGTAAACTTCAAAGGAGACATTCACTTTGAATTCTGGAAGTGGCAAGGGAAGCACAGTATTATAACTCCTTTTCCGGGATCAATGTATTGGGGATTATAGGATCATAGATTTGAAGCTGGAATAGTAGGAGATGATGATGGCCCTGGCTTATAAAATGGAGATAATTGTGTTATATATGTAATGGAGGACTTTCCAGTGAAAGTCTAATCCTGGGATCATGTGCAGGGGACTAATATGGGGATTTGTCTTTCCTCCTAAAACTGCATCTCCAAACTCTCCTTTTCTGTTTTGGGATCTGCCATCTTCTCAGTCACCCATACTTCAACCTCAGTATGTCATCCTTGACATGCCCCCATACCCAAGCAGTTGCTGTGTTTTATTGAATCTACATTCACAATATGCCTTATCTCCATCCTTCTCTCCCAATTCACACAATCACTTCTCTAGTAAAGGCCCTCATTACCTCTCACCATTATTATTATATTTCTAATTGGTTGCCCTGCCTTCAATCTCTACCCTCCCCAATCTATCCTCAACATAAAGGCCAAAAATATCATAAGGCATAGTTGTGATTATATCATATCCATGTCCAAAAGCCTTCAGTAACTTCTTGTTGCCTCTATTATAAAAGATTAACTCATTAGCATGGCATTTAACACTCCCCACAATCTGAGCATAATACTAAACTTATCTCACATCATTTCCCTTGGTGCACTATGAATCTGGCATTCCCTCTCTCATCTTGATGTCTTTGTATGAACAGTCTCCCATGCATAGCTCCTCATTTCTAACTCACAGAAACCTTATCTTCCTCCTAGCCTAAATTTTGGTGTTATCTTCTTGGTGAAGCCTTCTCAGAGACTCCAGTTGTAATGCCCTATCCATTTACAATTTGCTTCATATTTACTTCTCCGTACACTCTCACTATATTCTCCTAGTAGAATATGAGATCTTTTAGGGAAAGGATTGTTTATATTTCTCTCTGGATCCACTGGTCTAACATAGAGCCTTCTACATGGCACATGCTTAATACAGGTTTATTGAACTGAAAAGATGGAGATAAGAAGAAAGAGGCCCGTTGCTGAAGTGAGTCCGTTGTTTCTACCTGACACTCTGGAAAAGCAATAACTACTCTTTTAGGTGGCACTGTGGATAGAGCACTGGGCTCAGAGTCAGGAAGACTCATCTTCACGAATTCAAATCTGACCTTAGACACTTATTAGCTGTGTGAACCTGAGCAAGTCACTTGCCTCAGTTCTTCATCTGTAAAATGAAATGGCAAACCACTCCAGTATCTTTGCCAAGACAACCCCAAATGGGATCACGAAGAGCCAGATGTAACTGAAATGACTGAACAATACTCTTCTAGTATTAAGTGGCCCTAAGTCAAGTGTTAAGTTCTTTAAACTTAATGAACAGTAAATAACATTACATAAAAAAACACAGCCTATGCTTTCATTGATTAGTAATTCACTTCAAAATAATCTTTTCTCTTTAGTGGTGTTTCCTGTAGCAAATTTTCAATTGAGAGAAAGGGAACTTCTCTACAGCCAAAAGACTTCCAACTCTCTCTTGCCTCTTTTAGGTCTAGAAAGCCCACATCCCTGTATGGCCACCACACCATGGCAATGATATGGCCAAATGCAGAAGGTAAAGAAGAAAGAAACATTCTCAACCCTACAAAAGGAGAGACACAGGGAAAGAGGGAGAGGGAGAGAGAGGGAGACAGAGAGAGAGAGAGAGTCAGACAGACACAGAAAAACAGGCAAAAATTTTTTTTTCTCACCTAAAAACTCTTCTCCCCTGAATACTTCAGGTGATGGAAAACTACTTAAACTATCTTCAAAGCTGGTGGTTTCTATATAAAAATTCGTATCAGAAAATTTCAAAAGAGAAAAAGAAATCTCACTTGATGAAGTTATACCTGTAAAGCAAATAAAATGTATCATGCAAAAGGAAACATACACAGACTCAAAGACCTAAGAATATGTTGTAGGTAGCCACATTTACAAGGACAGCCACGCACTGAACACAGGCTAGGGATGCTGGCACACCATGGGATAACATTTCCATTAGTTCTTCCTTTACCCCTCAAGGTAAAAGCCAAAGAGAATGTTCCTCGAGAGCATATAATCCAGCCTATTCCATGCATACAGATGTTTACAAGTGAGAATAGATTTAGAGACAGAGGAAAAATAGGACATGAAAAATTAATAGAAACTTGTGAAGACTTGTATGAAGCAATACAAAACAAGCAGAAGAAAATAACAATATTGTACAATAACCATGATGATGTAAAGTTCTCTGATCAATTCAAGGGCCAAATTTGACTCCAAAAGACTGTTAATGAATGAAAAGTATATCTGGTAGAGAAGTAGTGGTCAGCAAGTATGGAACGAAATATAAGCTGTCATATATGTGTTCCAAAAGTCAGTGCAGTTTTAATCTTAAAACTCCACTAAGACTTTTCAGATGCCTTGTATAGTCAATGTATCAGTTTCTTCTAATTAACTGTTCTTTGTTACAATGGAGGGTTCCATTTGGGAGGACAAGAAGAAGGGGTGGTATTGAGAAATGACAGCAAAGTACAAAGAAAACCCCAAACACATACATACACAGAATTAAACTTACCTGAACTTATTTGAGTGTTATCTGTATCACTTTCAGCTTGGGGATCATCATCAGTCATTGATTCCTACATGGAATAAGAATTAAAGCTAAAAATGATATTGTCAGCTAAAATTATTCAATGTTTCTTTTGAGAATGAAAGGCAACAAAAGCAACTTTATTCAACATAACATGTTAGAAGCAACTTCTTGTGAGTACAAATAATAACTCACATTAAGGCTTTAACGTTTGTGAAGTTTTTTACACACATTTTCTCTTATGAACTTCATGACAACTTTGTGAGGTAAGAGTCATCATCGTATCCTTATAAGGATTAAACATGAAGAAACCAAGACTAAGGGAAGCTAAGCGTGACTTGCTCAAAGTTACTCAACCACCAAATATCTGCCAGAATTTGAATAAAGGTCTTCCTCCCTCATAGTTCCACACTCTATTCACTAAGCCACTATGTCACCATGCCTCTCAAACGCAGAATTAGCTGGTTCATACTTCTCTAACTAACCACTAAAGCCTACAAATAGGGGGATTTTCCAACATAATGTCTAATTACAGCTAAGGTACGTGTAAACTGTCATGGAAGGTACTGTGGCTTAATGGATAGTACTAGACTTGCAATCAGGAAGACCTCAGATGCTTATTAGCTGTGTGGCCCTGGACAACTAGGTTAGCCTCTCTAGGCCTCAGTTTCCTCATCTATAAGATAGGGATAATATTAGCACCTGTCCTATAAGGCTATTATAAAGATTAGATGAAATAATGTATATAAAATGTTTTTAAACTTCAAATTTCTACATATATGTTGGCTGCTGTATTATGTTAACTTTCCTTAAACTACTTTAATGCCTTTAAACAAATGTGCCTTAAACTAAAAAGAATGAGGGAAAAAACTGCCTATGTAAATCTATCAAAGTAGATGCCATAGACACTAGCTACAATAAAGAAAAACATTTGAGACACCCAGAAATAATTCCCATGAGGAGAAAAACATAATTGTTTGAAAATACTGATGGGACTACATGGGTGCCGGGGTAGGGGTAGGGGGGTGAGAGAAGGGGTTGAGATGATCACTGATAGCAAAGAGAAGGCAGAGCTGCACAATTCTTACTCTATTTTCTCTGCCAAGAAGAATGACGTTTGCACTGGAAAGGCAGAACGAAAATAACTAACAGGGAGTAGAAACCCAGGACAAACGGAGATCAACAAGAGCACCTAATTGGTCTTGATGAATTCAAGGTACAACTGGCCCGAAAGAGTTACATCCTTGGGTAGCAAAGACACTGTAAGTATATTCAAAAGGATCTGGAAAATGGGAGAGGCGCTTCAGAACTGAAGAAAGAAAACAGTTTGTTCACTACAGGCTGAAAGTGAAGAAGCCTCTTGATGAGGGTGAAAGAGGGTACAAGCTGGCTTGAAGCTTAATATAAAACCCCCAAGATCTTGGCAACTGGTCCCATCACTTCCTTGCAAACAGAGGGGAAAGTAAAGAAAGCAGCATTGGATTTCATATTCTTAGGTTAAAAGATCACTGCAGGCAGTAACTGCAGCCACAAAATTAAAAGATGTTTGGAAGGGAAGTTATGGAAAATCTGGACAGCATACTAAAAAGCAGCCAACACCTTGCCTACAAAGATCCACAGAGTCAAACCTACGCTTTTTCCAGTAGTGATGTATGGTTGTGAGAGTGGGACTATAAGGAAAACTGAGAGTTGCAGAATTGATGCTTTTGAATTATGGTGCTGGAAAAGACTTTTGAGAGTCCCTTGGACAGCAAGAAGATCAAATTAGTCAATACTTAAAGAAATTAATTCAGATTATTTACTGGAAGGACAAATACTGAAGCTGCAGCTTGAATGCTTTGGCCACATAATGAGAAGATGGGACTCATTGGAAAAAATGGTAGTGTTGAGAAAGATTAAAAGCAAAAGGAGAAGGAGACAGCAGAGGACGAGATGGATACTGTCATGGAAGTAACAAACATAAGCTGGCACAAACTTCAGGAGATAATGGAGGACAGAAGGGCACCTGGAGTGCTATGGTCCATGAGGTCATGAAGAATCAGACACAACTGAACAACTGAAGAACAACAACACAAGCAAATTATAGGCTGGTGAGCTAGACTTGATAGATTATTAAAGAGATGGTTAGTGAACATCTAGCAAAGAAGATAGCTGTTGCAAAAAAGTTCCATCAAAGTTAAGTCACGTTAGATGAACCTTAATTCCTTTTGTAACAAGGTTTTAAAACTGGTTGATCAGAGGAATATGACAATTTACCCAGATTTTTAGCAAAATACATCATATTGTTCTTTACAAAAAAAAACCTGTGGGAAAAGGTTGCTTAGATAGCTATAATCTTATCCCAGTCTATCATTTCTGTCTCACTGGACTTTATTCCAAATTGGCCTGCTCTTTGTTCCTCACACACAAACTTCCTTCTCCCATCTTATTAACTGGACTGGACTGGACACCCCCAGGTCTGGAATGCATTCTTTGCTCACACCTGACTCAAAATCTCTCTCTTCTCTCAAGATGGAGCTCAAGCACCACCCTTTACATGAAACCTGATCCTTCCAACTGTCAATGCCCTCCCTCTCAAAATACCTTGCATTTAGCTAATTTGTATTTATTCTCTTTATAGCTATTCTTGTAAATATATACGCATACACACGTGTATATGTCCATACACACACATTTACATTCTTGTTGCCCTTCTTAGAATGTAAGTTTCTTGCTAGTAGGGACTATTTCTTCCTCTGCTTTACCTACTGGCTTCCCTAGCTTCCTGTAAGTCTCAAAAAAGACCCTGACATGGTAGATCACTAGGATGAATCTATTAAGATGAAATCCAATAAGAAAACATTGTGAAACCTTACATTTGGATTCAAAATATCATCATCGCAATTACAAAATGCTGAGAGCATGATTAGAAAGCAGTTCGTCTGAAAAAGATCTGGAGGTTTTAACAAACTGGAAACTTAAAATGAGTCAGTGATATGATGTAGCAGTCTAAAATGCTAATTCACTGAAAGAGTATATTAAGAAAGGCATAGTTTCCAGACAAAAACTACATCTGGTGTCACAATTTAAGAAGGATATTGATAAACTGGAGACTGTGTAGAGGAGGACATCCAGGATAGTGAAGTCCATGTCATATGAGGATCAGTTAAAGGAAGTGGGGATAGGGAAAAGAGAAGACTCAGAGGAGATATGGTCTCTAAGGGAGATATGACAACTGTCTTTAAGTGTCTAAAAGATTGTTTACTTGTACTGTTTGGCTCCAGAGTGCAGAACCAGGAGCAAAGAAAGGAAGTTGAAAAGAGGAACATGTAGGCTTGATATAAGGAAATTAAAAAATATATATTTAGAGCTTTCCAAAGTGGAATGGACTGGCTTAAAAAACAGTGAGTTTCTTCTCATTAGAGGTCTTTAAGCAGTCTGGATGATTATTTGCTGTGTATATTATTTTTAAAAATGGGGGGAAATTGTGGTATGGGTCAGACTATAAGGCCTCTAAGGTCCCTTCCAACTCTGAAATTCTGAGGTTCTGTGATTAATGTAGTTTTAAACGATAGTACTACACTCTTCCTAGTAAAATAGACATAAGTTTTTACTAAAATTCATTTGAACAGAATTTAGACATGAATTTTTAAATTTATGTAATACCACATTAAGAATCAAATGAAATATATCAAATGTTTTAAGAAATAATACATATTCCAAAATTTCTGTACACAGTAGTATAGTGGATATAATTTTGACCTTGGAGTCACAAAGATCTCAGTTCAGATCCTATCCTGAAACATACTGGCTGGTTGACTCCAGACACAGCTCTTAACTTCTCATCGTCAATGAGGAAAGGGGAAGGGAATAAGCATTTATTAAGCACTAATATGTGCCAGGAACTCTGCAGATATTGTCTCATTTGATCCTAACAACAACCTTGAGAAGGGGCTATTATTATTATCCCCAATTTACAGATGAGGAAACTGAGGTAGACAGAAGTTAAATGACTTGCCAGGCTCACACAGCTAGGAAGTATTTGAGGCTGGATTTGAAATCAGGTCTTCTTTTGACTCAAGCTCAGCACACCATGCCACCTATGTGACCCCAACTGCATTAGCAGATACTAATCTTCATTGTGGTAGGAGTTTCCTCATAGGGAATTCATTACACCGAGGAGATCACGAGTCCTACAAAAAAAATTCTGCATAAAGTACTAAGTCTCAGAACAGGATTACTCCAATGTCTTATAGCAAAAATAATAACAAAAAATGACCTAAATTGGTTTATAAAGTTTTGGGGTTACTATTCCTATAAAAAATTATTCCTAATATTCATTTTTACTTATGCAAAAAATTACTTCTATAAAGAGATTGGTTCATTTTTACCTAACTCCATTTCCCTCTGTATTGCCCCTTGCTCCCATTTTGACAGCTATGCCTCATAACAAAAGGAAAAATGAAGAAAAAAAGTAGTTACACTAAGCCAACAGCACAGTACACACACACGCACTGCTCCACATGGAGAATCCTCCTCCCTCTTTCCAGGAAAGACAGGAGGAAGGAAAACTCTCAGAAGTCTTCTTTGGGACCTAAGTACAAGCCCAGTAATTGCAGATCATTAAGTTTCAGTTTTTGTTGTCATTGTTCTTTCCATTTAACATCGTGGCACTCACTGGGTACATTTTTAACTTAATTTTGCATCTATTTATATGTGCCTTCCTGTGGTTTATTCTTCCTATTAATCTATTCTTAGTAATACCAACACTAAACAAGCTAATAGAAGAGAATCAGTTACTATTGCAAGCATAATTTTATTTCTTATTCCAGCTTTGTTAAAGTTACTGGCTATATCTATCTGAGAATATCAGAAGACATTAAGATTGGGTTACAGTGGAAATGCCACCGTACCAAGGCTGGAAACCTGAGTTTAAATACTAACCCTGTCACTGTACGACCTTGGGCAAGTCACTTCCCCATCCATGGGCCTCAATTTCCTCCACTATAAAAGGAGGAGGTTGGACTAGATCGGAATGGAGAACCTGGGCCCTTGAGGCCACATGTGGCCCTCTAGATCCTCAAGTATGGTCCTTTGACTGAATCCAAACTTTTATTCTATAAAGTTTGGATTCAGTCAAAAGGGCCCACGTCCGGCCTCGAGGCTGCAGGTTCTTCACCCCTCAACTAGATAGTCTCTAGGGACCCTTTTAGCTTTAATATTCCATGAAATGAAGATAAGGATACATACCTTCGGTGTAAGAGTGTTCGTGCTCTTGGAGGCCTCGTTAGTGTGACTTTTTTGTAGGTTTTTTTGGTGTGCAACATTCAACTGCATGCTAGCAAACAAACATTTTTTAAAATTTATAAACAAATATTAAAATCTATAACTTAGCAGGGTTTTCTTATTTGGGGAATCCTATTTTTCCTATTACAATACAACAGCTAAAACAAAAACAACCTTATAAAAAGGTAGGAGTCAAACGAGGACAAGTTCTATAAATATACAAACTGATCAGACCTATTCAACAGAAATGATTCATCATTTACCTTTAATTAAAAATCAAAATATGCCTTGAAAAATTTATTACTTGTTAATATCAGGTTGTAATTATAGTTTTTGGAAAGAAAACATATCAAAACATTATCTATCCAACGTTCTCCAATTATTTCTTGTAGTGTGCCCTATGCTCTATAGAAACTGGATGATTCTTAATCTTCTATTTTCATCCTGCCCACTCTGCTCATTCTATCACCCAAGCTTGGAATGGAGTCTCCTTCCTTCTATTTGTTGAAGTTTTCCTTCCTGCAAATCAGATGCTACCTTCTCCGTGTATCTCTACTAGCCCATCCTCCTCCCAAGTGATGGCTCTCTTGTTTTCTACCCCCTCCCCCATATTCTTCAATCCCATCTTCTATTTTTTTTTGTAGTTCTTCTCTAGTTCCCAATGCCTCATAGGCTCCTTGAGAGCTATGTTATAGCTATTTCTGCATCCTTAAAACCCAAAGCAGGGTAGGTGACTAGAAAGACATATGTGCTTAATTGAGATTGATGATGAAGAATTGCTGTTGTGTATGTTTAAATAGTTTTCTTTTACCAGATATCCTTAAACATCCTTTAAAAATAACAAGCTATACTTCTATCACTGTTAAAATTTTGTCAAAAGCCACAGAACCAGCTAATTGTTCATCTGAAAGTACACAGCCCAGAAGAAACACCTCCACAGAAATTAGACAATAGTAACAGTAACAGATACAATTTTATAAGTTGACACAGACCTGTTTTTTGTAGTAGGGCTCTCATGTAACTGTGTTGCTTCAACATTCTCCTTCAACATTGGTAAGATTTTCATTTGAAGTTTTCCTTTTGATCCTGTAGGAAAGCACTTGTTTTTCAATTCAAAACACATTTAACTACAACAAAAAAAAGTTTGGTGGAGTGGTGGTAGTAAAATATTCTCAGTACTTAGAATGCAGTTCTTTAATCTATTTTATAAAGTATGGGTACTTAATGTTTATTGATTGACTGTCATTGATTGCAAATTGCTATAAAGTCCTCCTTTTGTTTAGTATTACTAGCTGAATCCAGTGCCAAGATTTCAGGCTACAAAGGAGAGAAAAGAAAGGGATGGATAAGAAAGGGAGAAAAAGGAGGAGGTTCTAATGTCTTCATCTCAGTCTTTATCCTCCTTGCCTATTTCTGCAAGTTGTGATGTGGTCTATGAACCCCCTAATCAACATACTGTTGGTTTCTGTGATGCTGGTTATCCCTCTACTTGACTGTTTCACCTCAGTCTCATTTGCTCAATCTTTATCCATTTCTTATCCCCAAGTTTCTGTCCTGGGCTTTCTCTTCTCTCTGTACTGTTTCCTTCCCTGCTGATTGCATTAGCTCCTTTGTGTTCAGTTATTATTTTTACGTAGATGACAGGCAAATCTACACGTCCTGCTCTAATCACGCTCATCCTCATAGGCAGCTAGGTGGTGCAGTGTATGGGAGTGCTGGGCGTGGGCCCAGGAAGACCCATCTTCATGAATTCAAATCCAGCCTCAGACACTTACTAGCTATGTGACCCTGAGCAAGTTACTTAACACTGTTTGCCTCGTCTGTAAAATGAGCTGAAGAAGGACATGGGAAACCACTCCAGTATCTTTGCCAAGAAAACCCCAAATGGAGTCACAGAGAGTCAGACATTACTGAGACAACTGAACAACAATCGCTCTCATAAACTCTAATGCCAACATCCACATGCATATCTCTGGCTGAACATCTCAGATACCTGGTAGAAATTATATTTTGGAGAGAACATAACCTACTCCATTTTGTGTTGTATTTGCTGTTATATTTCTTTTTCCTAGTGACACAGAAAGTACTGAATGTTTCCAGGTACCTCCCTTTCCCTAATCAAAAAGAAAACTCAGAGGACTTTGAAGAGTTTCAGGAACTCACCCACTTCTCTTTATCCTATCTAATAAAGGCACAAAGAAGACATTGTTTTCTTCAGTTTGATGTGAATAGCTATGCTAAAGACCTTTTTCCCCCCAAAAAAACCCCATCCTTTTTCTTTTCCTAAAAATATATCTTTTCCTGTTTATGTACCTAGCCTTGTCTTACCTAAAACTGCTTAGTAAGCTTGCCTGCTTGACCACAGATATCTTGCCACTAGACCTAGATGGCTCTGGAGGAGAAAGTGAGGCTGCTGACTTTGCACAGCCCTCCTTCACTCGAATCCAATTCCCTTGCAAGTCATGGCATCATCTTCCTCATGTCATGATCCTCTTAAGAATGAAGTACAAACCACAACCTGTGAGTAGTCTGAGCTGCTCCAATGGGGACCCAACTGGGCCAAGCAACTCAGCTCCTGCCCTTCCCCCCCTCCCCTCTCACTACCCTTCTCCTCTCCCCATATGGCATATCATGCCCTTACCTGACAGTGCTTCGCCCAAAGGAAGGTAAATTTTGATGGCTGAAACCTACCTTGTTATCTTGGGGTTTACTGGCTAGATTTTGTTCTTAAAGACCATGCCTTAAATCCAGTTCACTGTGGCTCTCACTGATTGGTCTACACTAAGTCCCCGGACAAGTACCACTTAATGGTTAGTTTTTGGGCCCTGATGGCTCAGAGGGAATATAAATAGTAATTGTTTCTCTTTCACCCAGCAACCCTGAGGGCTTTCCCCTCTCAGTTTGACCTTTTTTTCACTCCCCCACCAGTAAAGTGACCATCCCTTGACTCACTTCTTAAACAGGCCTGATTTAATAATTGAATTGGCATTGCCTCAGTCAAATTTAGAATTCTGAAAGACCCCTGGGCCATCTTCAGTTGTCATGATCTATATCTGGCTACCCGTCCCAGATGGCTCTGGAGGAAAATGTGAGGCTGGTGGCTTTGCACAGGCCTCCTTCCCTGATTGAATCCAATTCACTTGCAAGTCATGGCATCACCTTCCTGATAACAAGGTCCTCTTCAAGAACAAGGACAAATCACACATGACCAAAACACATGACCTGATTTTACTTAAACTCTGGGTCATATATGTCATCTGTGGAATTGTGAGACACACATGACTATCAACTACTGATGGGGTAGGTTACACTATTAGTGGATAAACTGCAGTGTACCTGTCTGTCTATAACCAACCTGTGCTGCCTTATTAATGAAGTGGCTAACAAGAACCCTGAAAATTCTTGAAACAACCTTAAACCCTGATAATCATTTAAGATCCATTAAGCCCCAATAAGGGCCAAAAACTTGAATTGATTTTTTAAGTTTTAAATACCTGATAATTGTTTACAGTATGGTTATATTTCTGAGATTTTTTATGTGGTATAATCTGGTAAACAAATTGTACCAGCTATGTTGTTGAAAAAGCAATTTCTGTTATAATCTATAGATGTTAGATCAAGAATTGTTACCCCTCCCCCCCAATAGGGGAGAATGAATGAGTTAGAATAAATTTCCAAATTTTATTCACTTTTAAGAGGAAGTTTCATCTAAAGTTCTTATTGTGAGAGATGATCTCTCAGAAGTGAAGCCTCCCCTGGGAATCAATGGTTCTTGTTAATATTTCTTGATTGTTGCTTTCAAAACTCAGACCCCTGTTTTTTTAAATGCTTAGCAGAAATAATAACCCCTGCCCCCAACCTGAACTGCTGCCCTTGCAAAACTTCCAGCCTTTTCTTGTCTCTGGGAAAACTTGTGTAACTACCTTTGTTCTAGATTTCCATGAAAAGATTGTGCCCCCTGAAAAGCCCAGCCAATAGCATAAGGGGAACGGGGTTGGGGGGGAGGAACTCGAGTTAGGGCCTAAGTAAGCCTTGATTTCCATAAGGCGCTCCTACTCTCCTGGTCCACAATGGCCACTAAGGGTTACCCTTTCTCATAAGAAAGCAATAAACTCCTTTCTACTTTCAAGGTATCTAAATCTTTGTTTTTATTTTTAAGTAAGTGGTCTCTGTCCCACACAGTTAGGGGCTCTTCGGGATTTCCTTCCTTATCTGAGAAGGGCCTCTCAGCCAGTCCTAGGACAGGCGCCCAATGGCCACTTGCCCCCGTCCCGTCCGAGGAATGATTTGGGAGTTTCCTTTCACTTTTAAGGAATGGACCCGAAGAAAGACAGATACCTGAAAGCAGAAACCTCGGAAAGGGAACAATAACCACCACCTGCTGAAGAATTTGAAGAATTTGAATCGGTCAGTAAGTTTGTGCGCACAGGCCCAGGAAAGACAAGATTGGTGAGCCCCCTTAACAGGGCAAGAACTAGTGAGTCTCTGGGTGATGGGGGCGGGAAACAAGGCTGAGCTTAGTGAGGCGAGAAGGCAAGATCAGGGAGCTTTCTATAGAAAGCAAGAACTTGTGCGTCTCTGGGTGACGGGGTTGGGGGGGGCGACAAGGCTGGGCTCAGTGAAGCGAGAAGGCAAGATTGGGGAGCTTTCTACAGAAAGCAAGAACTAGTGAGCCCTCAGCAAGATCTAGCCAGCCTCCCCTCCCGTAAGGTGGCAAGATCCGGTGAGCCCCCGTAAGAGGACAAGAACTAGTGAGGCTCTGGGTGACGGGGGGGGGGGGGGGGGCAGGAAACAAGGCTAAGCTCAGTGAGGCAAGAAGGCAAAATCGGGGAGCTTTCTACAGAAAGCAAAAACTAGTGAGCCCTCAGCAAGATCTAGCCAGCCTCCCCTCCCGTAAGGTGGCAAGATCCGGTGAGCCTCCGTAAGAGGACAAGAACTAGAGGATGGGGGGGGGGAACAAGGGTGAGCTTAGTGAGGCAGAAGGCAAGATTGGGGAGCTTTCTACAGAAAGCAAAAACTTCTGAGTCTCTGGGTGACGGGGCGGGGAGGGGGGGGGACGACAAGGCTGGGCTCAGTGAGGCGAGAAGCCAAGATCAGGAAGCTTTCTACAGAAAGCAAGAACTAGTGAGCCCTCGGCAAGATCTAGCCAGCCCCCCCTCCCGTAAGGGGGCAAGATCCGGTGAGCTCCCTTAAGAGGACAAGAACTAATGGTCTCCACCTCGTGGCAAGATACAGTGAGCCATGGGGACATCCAAAATCGGGTGGTCAGCAACATAGTTCCTTTCCAGATGTTCCGCATGATAGCTAATTGGATTTTGCAAAGTATAAAGGTAAAGATAGAAGGAAAATGATTTACAGTAATTTGTAGGATGTCTGTTTTTGTGTTTGTGACATGAATAAGTGTTATATATGTTGTATACCAGAACACAACCAAAAGGTAATTTAATTCATCCTGGTAATATTTTAAATGAAATGTGATGTTATGCTGTTTGGCCCTAAAGTAAATTGGGAAAATGCATGGATCTGAAATTTGTTATGATTGGAAGGTGCCTAACATAATGCCTAGCAGAGGACAGACACTAAAAATGTTAACTATTATTATTAGTTCCTTAATTACATGTGACCAGTATATAATGCAAAGGTGAAGAGATGCCTGATTTTCTGTGTGTAAGGCAAGTTGGAAATACAGTCAACAGAATTGGAGCTACCTGACTGGTAATGTGTCTGTTTCAATTTTTTAACCTCTAGTATTCTTTCAAATTGGTAAACTTTTGTATTGTTATGTTATAAAAGTTAACTGACAGAAACTAAAGGAAAATTGTGTGAGGCCAGTCGGCCCCGCTAACCCTGTCTTGTAATTTTTTTTTATATATAACTGCTATTTGGAGAACCAGGTTGTCTTCACCTTTGCCTGTAATTAAAGAAGGGGTTATAGCTGAAACAGTTTGCTGAGACCTTCACCCCTTACTCCAAAATAATTTGGGTCTCATTTGTTTGAATGAAGAGGGTTAGAATCTGGGCCCCAGAAAGGAAAAACCCTGGCCTTTCCCACAAGGCCAAATCTCTGGCGTTGGCCTGAGGCTATAATCCCATCAACTGGCCTTTCCTTGTGGCTACACCCAATTCCCCTCCATTGTCTTACCTCCCCATGGCCCCTGGCCTTTTCCCCTCTCATCCAGACCTCCCAGCTAGCATAGATAGGGGTAGGAGTGGCCCCAGGAGACTGGACCAGGTGAAAGAGTTCAGAAAGAAAGAAAGATTTTTATTGGGTCTGTTTTAAGTTTTTAATTGCAACTTGATGAAACATTTGCTTGGGTTCCATGGGTTTAACTGGAGTTGGTGAATATTCAAACCTTTGTGGGGAGCGGTGCAAGCTGATGAGCATGCTTGCAGGAAAAGAATAATTTAAAAAAAAACTTCACCCTTAGTAGTTACAATTTACTTATTGTAAATTTAACATTTTCCTGACTAGGTTACAGGCAGATTTCTATGCTACCTTTTGAGATGGCATCATTGTCTCCTTTAATCCTAATTGAGTTTAATAGCAGAAAAATTAATCAGGTTTAGTTTCAGTTATGACGGCATGCCATATGACTGAGTACCACAAGGAAAGCTAATGGTTACTTTTAATGTGTGAGTTTAAAGAAACACCCTTCTTTTGTTCCAGTAAAGCACATTAATGGTTGATTAATTCTGATGTGTTGAAGAAATAGCACACTTGTTCACATTTTGGCAACAGAAAGGAAAAGCCACAATTCTGATGTCAGCCTTGAATTTTGGAATTTGAAGCAAGAGCTGAAAAAAAAATTGCCATTTTAATTAGAAAATGAAACATATAAGGTTTCTTAATGATCAGATTTTGCTGTTTTAGAAAATGAAAAGTTATCAAGTATTTATTAAATACATCCCCCTTTTCCAACACACCATCCTTCTTCCCCAATGACTGTCATGATATGATGTAAACTAGTAAGCAATTGTATTAGTTATGTTGTTGGAAGGGCAATTTCTTTTATAATCTAGAATGTTAAATTAATTGTGCCTTCAGAGAAAAGAGAAAAAGGAATGAATTGGGACTGTTGGGGCTTTCTATAGGGTCCTGTTTTGTAACATTTCCTTTTTAGTATTGTAATTTAAGAAATGAGAACTTCCAAGTTTTGTCTATGTTTAAAGGGAAGTTTTAGCTGGGATTATCTGCGACTAAGTTATTTGAAGTTACCGTTTTGATGTTAAAGCCTAGAATTGTTAATTGTTTACTGTGTGAAGCAGAGTAACTGCCCATTCAAAACAGTCCTCCTTGGGATATGGGGGGTCGACAGGCAAAGGCACCAAGATTGGCTTCTCCCTGGGAGGACCTGATTGATGTGAGGGAAGCCGAAGCACCACCCACCCCTCTCTTCGGAGAACTAAAGCAGTTACTAAGCAGTTACTCGAAGACCAAGAGAACTTTCCACTACCTACCAGGGAGTTCCCATTAAAGAGGTTCCTTTAGCTCAAGGAGGAATTCAGTATGTGAATGCTCCCCTCAATAGTTCAGGGATTAGGAATTTTAAGAAGGATATGAAGAAGTTAATTGAGGACCCCTCAGGGGTCGCTAATCAGGTCAATCAGTTTTTAGGACCTAATTTGTATATTTGGGGAGAAAATGGTAGATATTAGATATCTTATTCCCTGGGGAAGAATAAGATCAGATTCGGAGGGTGTGATGAAGGCCAGGGATGCTGGCCACCTGACAGCACAAGGACCATAACAACCTGGCCCATAGAAAGAATATGAGGAAATTATAGGGAATTAGAAATGCCGACCCTAAAAGCCAGAACATGAATAAGGTGATGGGGATTGTTAGAGTTAGACTTTATGTTTCCACAAGTAGAATAATGCAGAGATTTAAAGAACAACAGCTCCAGGAAGTAGTACACTGTAGGTGGGCTTGGGCTTAGCCAATAAAAATTAAGTTGATGGTTCCAAAAAGACCCCAAAATCAAGATACGGGTTGAGCCAGCTCAGACCAGTTAGGCTCAACTTGAGGACACCTGAAAAATATTAGTTCTCCTGCTTAATGAACTTCATTACTATTATCTGACACCCCCCACCCCCGAATAAAATTAGAGCTTCATTAAAGAGTCATGGGACCTATGACCAAGGTAGGGGGAACATGTAAGGAAAGGTGTAACCTGGGAAGGGATGGACCAATTCAGGCCTGGGAGGTTTCGAGCCGAATTCAACTGCATAAAAGTACACTTGCCCTTGCACTCAGGGCCTACCCCTCCTGAAGAGGGGTGGAGCCCGCTTCTGGCCAGAAACTCTAAATCATCTGGACTTTCTCTGTAATAAATTTTCTTGATACTAAATTTTTGGTGTCAAGCCTATTTCTAACAATTTGGTGCCCAACGTGGGCCTTGATCTAGACTTCAGAGGGGACAAGGTAAGACATCCCGGGAAGAGCGCTCCCACTGTATTTCAGTGGTCTCGGTGAATTGAGCCTTTCCCAGCCGAACTCCTGATCTTGGACCACGTGGGAGAAGTCCAGGGGATGAGGGAAGCCTCCAGCAGACCATAAGAGTCAATATATTAGGCAAAGGTAAGAAACAATCTTTGCTGGTCTCAAACTCCCAAGGTCCTCGGATCTGATCGGTTAGCCTTCAGCTAGGAACAGATTCAGAGATGGGAGGGGCAAATTCGAAGGTACCTAGACTAAGGGGAGGAATCCCCAGGGACCACATTCCTTCCCATAGCCCTCTGGGATGGATGTTAGAAGGTTAGGAGGATGGTCCCAGTGATGGGGTGAGCTCAGAGACACCCCCCCCCTTTACACCAAAGGGAATCTGGCTCCCATTTGTCCACAGACCACAACTCCTTGTCTCCCTTTGGAAGCCTTAGCCTTCACCTTTTGGCCTTACTCAGATGCCTTCCAGAGCTCCCTCCATTACAGGCCCCTTAAACACTTAAACTACTCCCGTTATCTCCCTTTGACTGATGCCTTCCTGTTCCTTCCATTTAGCTATTCCCATTGTCTATTCAATCACTCAGACCTCCCCAATTAGAATTCTTACCTAGACCCTTTTCCCAACCCCCTTCTCTGGCCACCCAAAGTTACTTTAGTATTTAAGATCCACCTGGCCCCCATTCAGATGCTGAGAATCTCTCATGCCCAAAGGGAGTGTCACCTGACCTATGCGATTTATCACTAATAAACTTTTCCTCTGGCTGAAGATTTGAGTTGAATTCATTCAGCAGGGCCCGGTACATGATTTTGGGGTTCCAGCACCCCAAAAGTCCTAGACCTCTTCATATGGTTCCCTGATCTGGAAAAACTGCTAAATCTCAAACTCTTCTTCAGCCAGGACTGGTAAGCCTCCCCCTCCCCAATTCCTTTGTTGTCTTGTGGCTGGGAGGGGGATTTCCAAGCACCTAGCTAGGCTTGTCTTGGAAGTGTTTTCAAGCCTGACCTCTCGGGTCTTGTTACTGTTACAGCAGACAACTAAGAGGCTGTCTCAAACTCCCGCCTGAAGCTCTCAGGCTATCGGTCCAGTGCCTCTGCTTGAGCACTTGGACCTAGGTATACCTTCCTTAGCATAGAGGAAGGACTCCCTATCAGGAAGCGTAGGTCCAAACCTCTCAGTTCTCTCAGCGCTAGGGAATTGGGAAACTGTTGGATATTTTTTTTCTTTTTTCCTTTCCCCTAAGCCCGCAACGGGTCAGTCCTCTTCAGTTCCCAAGAATTCACCTTTGGGCTGTCTTTTACAAAATTGGAAAATTTTTAGCTTCTGTAAAGAACTTGAAAAAGCTGGTGCATTTTTGGAACACCGTTTGGCCTCAGTATCACCTGGAAAATTATGAGGCATGGCCCCTTTTTGGGACATTATGGGTAAAGACCCTCTCAGAATTAGAAAAATATTGTCACAGAGAAAAAAAATGGGTGGAGATTTCTTACTTAATGGCTTTTGTTGAGCATTCTAGAGACCCCATTCTCAGAAAGGATTGTAAGACGCTCGTAGCTAGAGCCACCCCACTAGTGGAGAGTGGGGATCAAATGGACCTTTTGGATGATCCTCTTCTTATGTCTCCCAGGGTTATGACAACCCCCTCTTCCCAACCTCCATCAGCACCACCTCCCCAGCACCTATCTGCACCCCATTCTCCGGCCTCTCTGGCCTCTCCGGCTGTTCCCCATTCCCCCCAGACCCCTCCTTCTGCTCCTCATCCTTCCCCAACCCTTCCTTCTGCTCCCCATTCTCCTTTGACACCCCCCCCGCATTTCCCTATTCTCCCCTACTCCCCCCATTTCCCATGCCCCCACCTCCTTGCCCATCCCCTCTTTTCCTTGGTTCTCCTTCCCTTTTCCTCTGACTCCTGCATTTCCTCCCCAACCCCCTGCTCTAGAGGCTACTCCTACTCAAGCCTTGAGCAAGTACCTCGCCCCAGCCTCTACTTCCAGAGAGACCCCAGCTCAAACTCCGGACAAGGTTCTCAACTCGGTGTCTCCTCCCCAGACCTCTACTTCTGACGGCACCCCTACTTAGGCTCCAGACAAGGGTCTTGCCTTGGCGTCTTCTCCCCTGATCCCTCCCCCTCCTCTGGTGTCAGGTAATCTCTTCCCCCTTGTCAGCCAGATTCCTCAGCCTTGTCAGTTCAGCCGGCACTTTCCAGTCCCTCGCTCACAAAATGTGGGACTTCTCATCTCCCTCCCCAGCAAGCCCCTGCTCCTGCAGGCCCTTCAAGGCTTTTTCCTTTAAAGGAAGTACCTGCCTCTCCTAATGGGACACAGGGTGCATGTTCCATTCTCCATTTCAGACCTCACCCAGATTAAGGAAAGGCTGGGTCGATACTCTAAAGATCCCACTAAATTTACTGCGGGCTTCAGAGATGTGTCCCTATAATTTGAACTTTCCTGGGGTGATTTGCATGTCCTCTTCTCCACCTGTTGTACCCCTGAGGAGAGGAAGAGAATCTGGGAACAAGCCCAAAACTTTGGGGATCGTTTTGCTAGCAATGACCCCACAAAATACCCCCCAGGAACACCTGCTGTCCCTGCTAGTGATCTGGGGTGGGATTATCAGAAGAGTGAGGATAGGGGAAAGAGGGACTACATGATAATTTGCCTGTTAGAAGGCCTGAAAAGAGCATTTTGACAGCAGGTAAACTTTCAAAAGATTAAGGGAATTACTCAGGAAAAAAGGAAAATCCTGCTCTTTTCCAAGATAGGCTAGTAGAACCCATTAAAAAGTATACGAATTTAGACCCTGACTCTACAGAAGGGGTGGCAATCCTTAGCATGTATTTCATTAACCAATCTGCCCCAGATATTAGGAGGAAACTACAGAAATTGGCAATGGGACCCCAAACACCTCAGGCTCAGTTATTGGCGATTGCCTTTGGAGTCTTTAACAACAGAGACTTACTTGCAGTGGAGGAGAAAGAATGCAGGCAGAGGGCTAGCGACAAAGAACATGCCAGATTCCTGGCTGCTGCCATGGTCAGGAAAAGACCCAAGGGTGTTCCTGGCAACTTGGGCAGTGGGAAAACCTGCTTTCAATGCCACCGGGGGGGGGGTCACTGGTCCAAGGAGTGCCCCTCCAGGGCGCCCCCTTGGAGGAAGCCCCCAAGACGGACACCTCCAGGACCTTGCCTAAGATGTGACCAGGAGGGACACTGCAAGAAGGATTGTCCCCGAGGTAGGAGAAGTGGTAGAGCAGCCCCCCAGTACCCTGTCCTCTAGTCTTCTCAAGACTGGGGAGGACAACCCAGCAAAACTGAGTATAATCCTTCAGGGGAAAAAATGGTCATTCAGTGAAACAGAGGACTTTCAAGCATTCTTGATGACAAGTCCAGAGCTGAATAGAAAATTTGACTTTCCAATACAAGACTCAAGTGGAACATGAAGAGGTAAACAGGAAAGAGAAATCATAAGAGACTTATTAAGGCTGAACTGTTTACATTCCTGCATGGAAAGATAATATTTATAACTCATGAGACCTCTGTCAGTATTAGGGTCATGGGAGAGGGAAAAATATATATATGTATAGATAGATAGATGGATAGAGGGCACAGGGTG